AGGCTTTTGGGAGGCACTTAGGTCATTGAGGCAGAGCCCTCACGAATGGGATTTGTGCCCTTACAGAAAAGGCCCCAAAGAGACCCTTGTCTTTCCATGATGTAAGAACGCAGCAAGAACGTCCCCTCTATGAACCACTAAGTGGACCCCACCCCACATCTGCCTTGACCTTGGCCTTCACAACTGTGAGAAATACAACTCTGTCGTTTATAAGCGTCTCAGTTTACGGTGTTTTGTAAACTGAGCCTGAACCCACTAAGACAGTACAGAACTCAATCAATAACAATAAAGAGAAAATTATAGCAGCGTGCAAAAAACACAACAGTGTGCCTGTTATAACTGTAGAAACTGATTTTCATTTTTGGAAATCAGTTTCATCAAGTTTGACAGAACGTGGCCACGGCCATTTGCTTATACTCAGCTGTTTCCACGCCACTTTGGCAGAGTTGAATAGTTAAGACGTACATCCCACCCACAAAGCCTAACACTACCACTCTCCAGCCCTTTACGAAAGAGGTTTTCCCATCTCTGTCTTAGATGGGTAATATGCATATCCTAGATTTCGATAAAGAAAGGACTGTCGGCACTGGTTCTTTTCCTGCACTGTGAATTGAGACAGAACCAGATTCTAAGTACATTACCATTACCTTTCTTTTATATATAATTGAAATTTACCTTCAGAATCAATATTGTTCAAACATGGTACAAGCGGTGACGACCAGCAGCTGCAGTGTTAGATAAGGAGGAAAGTGACGGTGTGCCTGTCAAGCGCATTCAGGATGATACCTGTAAAACAGCTTCGACTCTGAGAATGATTAAAATCTTTCTTCCTCTGTCCATAGGGCAGGGTAAACCGTGACTAGAGTTCTCCCCGAGAAACACCAGAATGTCCCCGCCACAGTCTCTTAGTGCCTATCTCATGCAAAGTCCATCCTCCAAGCCAGGATTTGGGGGGAAAGAATATGGGAAACACATGGGCCTGGAGGGTGGAATGACCCTGGCCATTCCTAGTGGGAGGGAGACGAGGCTCCAGAGTAGAACAAGGAATATGGTGACAGGTGAGGCGGGAGACATGGGCACCCACCAGAGTGTGGATAGATTTGAAATCAGCTTGTAGAGTCCTGGAAGGGGTCTACTGGTAGTACTCCCAGCAAGAGTAAATGGCAGGTTAGACTTGTGGATGCAATACAGATAGAAAACAATGGCTGGCTTTATGAGATATTTCAGAAGGGACTATATAACTCAATGAGTGACTTGATGTACACAGTGACAGAAAGAGAAATCAAGGAGGACTCAGGCTGTTTAACTTGACTAAGTAAATGAATAGAAAGTGGTATCATTTAGAAAGATGGAGAAAACCACAGGACAGGCAAATCAGGAGGAAGAACTGGGTTCTACGCTGGCCTCATTCAGTGTGAGACGCCCTTAAACCACTGGCCCTCAAAGGAGGGCATTTTTACTTCCAACAGCAGAGTAGGGAATGTCGAGAGACATTTTTGGTTATCACAACTGGGATAGGGAGATATCACTGGCAACGAGTAGGTAAGGCTGGTGGGGAGATGTCACTAAACACCCTGCAATGTGTGGGACAGCCTCCTACAGCAAAGAACTACACCATCCAAAATATCATTAAGGCTGAGTTTGAGAAACCCTGCTTCAGACAATCCATGGCGATGTCACGAAGGCAGCTGGAGCAACGTGTGTCTGGAACTCAAAGAGCAGTCAGGGTTACAAGTACACATCTGGTTTTTCTCAACAGCTTGTTTTTCTTGTGTTGCTATTCTCTCTCATCATTCTTTTTTTAGCTGTTCTGCTGGGGAAAGGCAGTTATACAGGAATTAAAAAGGGATTGAGGTTAACAGATCTAAGGAAAAAGTGTCAAAACTATTAAGTCGTTCATAAACACTAAGGCAAAACACAATGCCAAACAACGGAAGATAAAAAGAGTAAAATACACAGATCTCACTCTACAGTGATGCGAGGTGGAGAAACCACCAAGCTGATCACTGAGGATTGATGCTATCAGGGCGCTGTCTCCAAGCAGTACGGGGACATGAAGGGAAACATGATCAACTCTGCCTTGGTGGGAGAAAGAGGTGGAAGAAGGGAGGCAAGAAACAGTTCTTTTCACTCATATCAGAGAAATGCAAATTAAAACTACATGGAGATTACATTACTCACCTATCAGATTAGCAAAACCTCACAGGAAATTGTATTTACGTCAGCCAGGTACAGGGGCTCACACCTGTAATTCCAGCACTTTGGGCAGCCGAGGTGGGCAGATCACCTGAGGTCAGGAGTTCAAGACCAGCCTGGCCAACATGGTAAAACCCTGTCTCTACCAAAAATACAAAAAAAATCAGCCAGGCGTGGTGGTGTGCACCTGTGGTCCCATCTACTCAGGAGGCTGAGGCAGGAAAATCTCTTGAACCAGGGAGGCGGAGGTTGCAGTGAGCCAAGATCACGTCACTGCACTCCAGTCTGGGTGACAGAGCAAAACTCCATCACAAAAAAAAAGTAAAAAAGAAATTTTACTTATGCCATTAAGAGAGTTCTAGCATAAGAAAAAAAGACATAAATATTAAATGAAGTTTTAAAAAAAACCCATAATTCAAAATTTAAATTACAAATACCTGTATGGATCATAATATACATTCTACTAATAAACAAAGGATGGGGTGGGGGAAGGGAGGGAAGAGGCAGGTGGGAAAGAAGAAAAAGATTTTCTAGCTGTGAACGCTGAACACTGAAGGCCTAGACAACAACCAACCCAGCAGCAATGAGCACCTGCACCACCTAGATTATGCTGTATAAATACCTCTTCCAAGTCAAGGAACCAGGACCACCGGGAGGAAAAGGTGCTTCTAGGTCTAGGGCATGAAGTACAAGAAGGGCCTAGAATACCTTAGTTTCTTTGCTTTGACGTCCAGCGTGCTGGTGAAAACTAACTCTTGAGGACTCAGTAATCAAACTAAACACCGTCCCATGGGCAGAAATAGGACAATTTGAATATCATAAAGAAAAAATACTGTGATTAACTGGAAAACATCAAATAGGTTTAAATACGTAAATTTGCAATTTTTGTGTGTGTGTGTGTGTGATGGCGTCTCGCTCAGTCACCCAGGCTGGAGTGCAGCAGCATGATCTCGGTTCACTACAACCTCCATCTCCTGGATTCCAGCAGTTCTCCTGACTCAGCCTCCTGAGCAGCTGGACTTACAGGCACCCGCCACAACACTCAGCTCATGTTTGCATTTTTAGTAGAGACAGGGTTTCACCATGTTGGCCAGGCTGGTCTCGAACTCCTGATCTCAAGTGAGATCACCCACCTCGGCCTCCCTAAGTGCTGGGATTACAGACCTGAGCCACCACACCCGGCCTTATTTTTTTTCTAATGACTCATTGGTCCTCTCTGAAAGAGAGAAAGGAACCAACTCATTATCATGAAAATGGATAAATAAAATAAAGCCTTGGTTTCCCTGGGTTCCTCATTGCATTATGATGAAGTTAATGTAGGTAACAACTGGAAATACCACCAGGCACATAGGACTCATGCCCCATGTGAAAGCAACTGTGTCTACCGTCATTATACCCACATCATTACCCCTGGGCCCTTGGGGACACCCACACCCAACCATCCTTGGGTGGTGAAAGACAGCAAGGGTCCTCCCAGCCATAGGAGGCAGGAGAGGATGCCTGGTCTATTCTAGAAAAGAAAGTAGGAGAATATTTTCTGTCTCTTATTGGCAGGAAAATCTAGAAACATACAACATGCATATATATTGCCCTTACTAAGGGCCAGAAATTCTTCTTAGTATGTTAGACACATACTAAGTTATTCTTCACAGTAAGACTAGGAGATAGGAACTATTACCATTCCCATTTTACAGATAAGAAAACTGAGGCTCAGAGAGGTTAGTAACTTTCTCATGATCATAGACTTGTTCATGGCAAGAAAAGGCATAATCTGTGCAGGCCTGTTCAAGATTCTGTGAAGTATGAAACCTTGACAAAGGTGATAAATATCAGCCCTGCAGAAAACCATCCAGGGGATGAGGAGTCTAGGGAAATTATCTGCGATATTATTATCGTCACTTTCATCATCATGATACCAGTTAGTCACTGAGCATTTACTTTGATTTGATCATTCCACATCAACTATGCCATAAGAGGAATACTAATGTCTTCTTTCTTTTTGAAACAGAGTCTCATTCTGTCACCCAGGATAGAGTGCAGTGGCGCAATCACGGCTCACTGCAACCTCCAATTCCTGGGTTCAAGCAATTCTCCTGCATTAGGCTCCCAAATAGCTGGGATCACAGATGCTTTATTTTGTATTTTTAGTAGAGTCAGCCCTCTTCCAAGTTGGCCAGGCTGGTCTCGAACTCCCAGCCTTAAGTGATCTGCCCGCCTGGGCCTCCTAAAGTGCTGGGACTACAGGCGTGAGGCACCACACCCGGCCCATAAATGCTATTATTATTCCGCTTTCTGGAGGGGAGAAGAGAAGTTCAGCAAAGTTGGGAAGGTTTCCCACAGATGTTATGTGAGACACAGGTAGAGCCACACTTGGAAGCCAGTCAATGACACTCCACAGCTCACATGTTCTCCCAGCTTTACAGAGGTACAACTGAAGAATAAAAATTGAATATAGTCGAGGTATACCAAGAGAAGATTTGAAGTATGTGCACACTGTATAATGACGACTGCAATCAAATGAACACACCCGTCGCCACCCGCAGTTACCATTTTTTAACACTGTGGTCTTTATAACCCTACAGGGGGTGCCGAGGACACTTCAGATTTCTCTTAGCAAATTTCCAGTAGGAGAGGCCAGGAGAAGGGAAGGAAGCCAGGGAAACGGAGGTGAACAGCAGTGAACACACACACGAAGGCAAAGAGCGTTGGCTTGGGGGCAGTCATTTCTGTGTAGAACAAAACAAACCAATATTTTGTTTTGTCAGCCCAGATTTTGACATTTGGACATGGTACATCCTACTAGCATTGGTTGAAAATCGCCCTCTTGCCTTGGCTGTGCATGCAAGTGAGATCTGACGCTCAGAACCCCCAGGGCCTCAGCACACCACAGACTGCCCTATATGCAGCAGTGAAACCTGGGTCCCAACAGGTGTCATGGCCCCCGCCTCAGTATGGCTGATGGTGTGCTCTGCCCCTGTCTCTAGCCTCTGACCCCTAACCCTGTCTTCTCCCTGCACAGGGGGAAAAAAGTGGCATATTCTAGAGGCATGGTTCTCAACCATCAGGGATTCTGATGCCAGAGACATCTGGTCACATCTGGAGACATTTGTGATTATCACAGTTGTGGGAAAGGGGGTGCCACCAGCCTCTAGTGGGCAGCAGCCAGGCATGCCAAGAAACATTCTACTGCACACAGGACAGCCCCCATGACAAAGGATTCTATGGCTCAAAATGTCAATAGTGTTGGGGCTGAGAACCCTGGCACAGAGCAAGTCACCCGACCTAGCTGAGCCTCACTTTAGTCCTTTCTTAAGTGGCGATAACCATGTTTACCCTTCATTGAAGTGTTTATGAACAGTAAATATATCTACCGCCTGGCCCGTGACAGGCACTCAAGATAGGAGCTGATTCTAATGATCCCTGTCGGCATCACCACCACCGTTAAATAGGAGAAGTATCTGCATTAGGGACTGGCACACTGTTACCTGCTGGCCCCCTGTCTGTTTTGGTAAATAAAGTTTTACTGGCACAAAACCATGTTTACAAATTGTCTTGGGCTGTTTCAGTGCTCCAGTGGCAGGGGACCACATGGCCTAAACACAGAAAGATTTTACTATTCATCTCTTTATAGAAAAAAGTCTGCTGACCCAGGAATGATCAAGAAATAGGAAATGCTATACAAAAAAAAAAAAAGGTTATAATTCTGATGTGTCAAAAAAACGCCAGAAATTTCTTTCTTCCCCCCACATGTCTAAGGGCGATGGGCATAAAGTTATAGGTAGAGAGCATTATAATTGCTGAAAGCCAATTTTATCCATTCAATTTTATCACTTTTCATCAAAATTGACTGCCGCTGTGCTTTAAAATATACTCCATCAAAGCAGCTCAAACCTCTTAACACAAGGAAGGCTGTTGTTACAATATTTACAGAAAAACTGGTATCACACTCTCCTCCTGAGCCAGAGCACAGGAAGGGGAGAATTTTCCATTAATTTTAAAAGCTTTTTACCACCAAAGTAAGAAAATTTTTTCAAGAAGATAAAAAATTTTAGCATTTAAATATCTAGTCTTCCTCATAAAGGGAAAATGCTTTCTACATATTACAAAGTAGGAATTGGGTAGTTACCAGAGAATATATTTCATTTTGAGGAGAAGAACTGAGTTAAAAGATTCACTTTTGGCAACGTTAATCTCGAGCTCCTGGAGATGAAAGCACCGGTGCACCCAAGTTGGTCTTTGTCAAAATACAGTTAGCAAGTTTTTATAAGACTCACCTCCCTTCTCTACCTTAAAAATGGATTTTTTTTAAAATCCACTTGAAGGGAGTGGGGGTGGGGGGAAGAAACAGAATCCAATTTCAATATCCTTTGCTAAAGAAATAGTCTTAGGTCAAAGCGGGGCAGCAAGTCGCCTATGTAGCCCAGAGAAGTCAGTGAATTGAAACTTTTCTTAAGTACTTGTCACTGTAAAAGAGTTGCTGAGCGTTTGCCCTGGCAAAGCTGAGTTTTCAGTACTGAAAATGGAACCTGTGAGTCACTACAAGGAAGCCCAAGGAGACAGGGTTCCAGAGGTAAAATGCACCTTCGTCAACGGAAGCTGCAGAAAAAGCAGGATGCTGTTGGGAAAAAATTAGCCACAAAGGAAGTTGTGAGAGTTGTTTTCTGAAAAACAAAACTAAGAAATCAGCGGGCAACTTGGCAAGCAAAAGTTCTTGGGTTGGTACGAAGAGAAAGAATGTTCAGAGATTCTGGAAACTTCTCCTGAAGCAAGAGGCTGGTTTTACTGCCCCACGGTAGGGTGTGCCTATCCTTAAAAGGAACTGGTGACCCCAATGCCAGTCATCCTAGGAAAGTCAACCCTGAGACAAGGAGAAGTGAAAAAGCAAGGACATGGGATGTGATATGGTTTGGCTGTGTCCCCACCCAAATCTCATCTTGACTTGTAGCTTCCATAATTCCCATGTGTTGTGGGAGGAACCTGGTGGGAGATAATTGAATCCTTGGGGCAGTTTACGCCATACTGTTCTCTTGGTAGTAAGTCTCATGAGAAAAGATGGGTTTATAGGGAGGAAGCCCTTTCACTTGGTTCTCATTCTCTCTTTGCCTGATGCCATGTAAAACGTGCCTTGCACCTTCTGTCATGATTGTAAGGCCTCTCCAGCCACATGAAACTGTGAGTCCATTAAACTTTTTTTTCTTTAAATAAATTACCCAGTCTTGGGTATGTCTTTATCAGCAGCGTGAGAACAGACTAATACGGGAAGGGACAGTCATCTTTTCCCTGCGGCTCCGTCCAGCTGCATTAGGCCTGGATACAAAGGCCCAGAGAGGTCCAAGGCAGCTCTCTCTAGTCCTCAGCCAAGCAACAGCAAGCCAGGAAGGAGGCAGGGAGACTACCTGGGGACACAGGCAGGTCTAGGCTGTGACTGAAAGTACATGAACCTACCCAGAGAGGAACTGTGCTCCCCGCTGAGCACAGGCAAAGGGCAGGAAGCCGGAGCCAGCTAGCAGGGAGCCATGATGGTGGTTACACGAGCCCACAGCTGCCCAGATCCCTGCATACAGACAGTAGAGGGAGGCGGGTAACTGGACTTCCCAGGCCTGGGAGTAGACAGGGTGAGTCTTTAGAAACCAAGAAGACTCATTCTCCCTGAGTAAGCATGCCGGGACATTTTCAGCCCATCAGAGCAGGGAGGCACGAGACAAGACTTTCGGTGACCCCATGCATGACAGGGCTCAGGGCTGTTCCACTGAAAGTGACACTGTCTGTCCCCAAAACAGGTAAATGAGACAAGAGGGTCCCCTCCACAGCAGGCACCCCACCTGACAGATAAGTGGGGACAGGCCATGCATACAATTCCCCATACTCCATATTGGAAATGATGATTTCCAGGCCATAGATACAGACATTTGAGGCTCACAGAGGTCAGGTGACAGGGCCCAGTCATGTGCCCAGAGCCAGGATTTTGATTCTCACATTCTGACCAACAGTGGGGACAAACCATCATCTCCAGTGTTTGTATTTAAAGTTCTCTTCCAAAGAGAGTGGCTGGGAGCTTTGGGTCTGGAATCTGAGCACCTACGTGACCTTGACCATCAGTAAGCTTATCACACCTCAGTTTTCTCCTCTGTGTAAGGGGGATAAGAGTAATACCACCCGCACAGACTGGTTATAAGCATCACATGAGATAAATAAGGTGCTCAGGAATATACTTGGCACCGTATAAGCACTGAATAAATGCAAGCTTGCCAGCCTGATAAGGATTTTAACAATCACTGAGAAAGATATCTGTAGCTTTCCAAAAGAACAGAATGGCTCAAAATTAATTGACAAAAAGGGTTCTTTGTACTTTATTTTTTTAATCCATTCAAATATGCCCCCAAAGTGGATTAAATAAAAATGTTCAATATGTTCTTTCTACCAAGCTATTAGATCAAAGCATATTATTAGCTGAGCTAAATAATTCATTCAGTTAAGTTGCACTGTAATAAATCAGGAGAAGCTACAAGACCCCAAAGTCATTCCAAGTCCAACTTCAAGTCTCTTTCAGGCTTTAGAAAAGTCTCCCACTAGAAGACAGTCACAAAATGTATCAGGATACAGAAACGGTGCGCTTAACCTCTACCACAGGCTAGCTCATCTTTGAAAACGAGCAAGCTGTCTAAACAGCAGGAAAGCACGATCATAGTCACTGTTGTTATCAGAACTGGGTCCAAATATCAGCTCTGCCACTTCCTGGCTATGCAGCTTGAGATATTCTACTCAACCTTTCTGAGCCTCAGTATCCACCACCACTACCTCACAGGGTTGTCGTGAGATTACATGATGCATATAATAGGGCCAGATGGGGTGGCTCATGCCTGTAACTCCAGCACTTTGGGAGGCCAAGGTAGGAGGATCACTTGAGACCACGAGTTCAAGACCAATCTGACCAACATAGGAAGATCCCATCTCTTTGAATATATATAATTTTAAAAATGCATATGATGCCTCTGCCCAGTGTTTGACACATAGTACATGTTTATTAAATGGTGTGAATTATATTAATTTGGATTTAAATAATTTATCTATTCATTATTCATTCATTAATAAGATAATGAATTAATAATAATGAACTACCCTGCTGAAAATTTCTATTTATTCTACATAAGAAAGTTGTTCAGCTGGACATTAGCAAGAATCCTTACATAAGAGCTTAAAGTTAGGAAAAAACCTCTGATCCTTACAAGACTAACAATAGAGCCACTGTGCCTTTTATCAGCCTCACAGGAGAAGAGAACGGGCAGGGGACAGAAGGTTTTAGATCCTTCGAATGAAAGAAACAATTATCATCACACTGTTAGAAGCGAAGTCCTAAATCACATTATTATATATCAGGGGATGTTTCTAAAATGGCGGGGCACCTGGAGGCAATGCTTTTTACAAGATGTCTTCCAAGCCAAACTGCTACAAGCCATTCAAGCTTAAAGTCTTCTGGCAGTGTCCCTTACCATTAACTAGTAGAGTACCTTTAAGAAACCAAACTCTCAGCACCAATGACTTGCCTGACATAACTCAGTCTTCCTCAATGGGTCTGAAACGACTGGCTGGGGCTTAGGAGAAAATTCCTGTCCAAGGGCCGACAGTGAACATGGGAGGAAGGTGCAGCTATCCCCATGCACCTGTGTTAGGGAGAACCAAAACAGAGAAAAAGACAAGGAAAAAGGAGAACTTTCCAAGCCTACCATTTTCAGAAAAAGAAACATTAATTGTAGCATCTGAAACCTAAAAGACTCTCTCTAGAAGGAATGACAAACAGTGCTAAAAAAGAAACTACGGAGGCGTTTTGCCTCTGTCTCACTCTATGGTCTATCAGTCAGTTGTCACCTGACACACCCAGGTGGTCAAACCTTCGCACCTGCTGTTCCTGCCATCTGGACTGCCCTTCCCCA